AGCTTCTCAGACGGCTTGCTCAGCGTGCAGAGGGACTCGTCAGTCGGGCAGGAGCAGTCACCCTGCTGGCACCCCTGTCCTGATCGGACAGCGGGCAGGATCCCCTTCAGACGCTGAGTGCCTTCGGACGTGAGGGGCTCATCCTCTGGTGCTCTCTCTGACAACGCTCTGCTTCCGTTCGGTAGCTTTCCGGTCACTGCCGCTTCTGATGCTCCCCAGAGGGCGTTCAGTGGCGAATTCCTCGGCCGTGGACAGCCTGTTTCTTCTTCGGTCTGTCCTGAATCTGGGGGCTCGGCTTAAACCTGTTCACTTTGGGGGGCCCTGCTGGTACGCAGAAACACAGAAGCCACCAGAGGATGGCAAACTGACAGACAAGTGATGGACAAACAGGTCTGTCTTGGAAGAGGTACCGCCCGCGTGCAAGGCCTCAGGGGCAAGGATAACAAGACGCCCCGGTACTTTGGACGTGTCAGGAGAGACCAGTCGCTGGAGAAGGACATCGTGCTTGGTCCACTGAAGGGAAAGCAAAGAAAAGGACGTCCCTCTGGGAGGTGGATTGGCCCGCAGCTGCAACTGTGGGTTCAGATGTCAAAAACAATCGTGAGGCTGGCACAGGACCGGGCAGCGTCGTGTTCCGCTGCACACAGTGTGGCTGTGGATAGGGACCGGCTCAGCAACATCTAACAAGTGTTCCCCTGTCCTGTCCAATCAGCGTCCGCCTCTTGGGCTGTGTGCACATTCCCCGAGTACTATTCAGTGTTTTGGAATTCCCGTTCTGTCGAAATGCTCCTGTCACTTCATACCCTCTGCGCAATGGCACGCCTTCGCTCAGTCAAGAAAGCACACACAGACAACTTTGTCGTCAATTAAGCGCCTTCTTGTATTCTCCGCTTTCAGCCAAGATCCGTCTGACCCCACCAATGGTATCCCAGGGTTTGCATCTTCTGAGCTCACCTCCACTCGAAATGCGGTTGAAGGTCATTCAGACATGGTGGCAGCAGGCCATGCCAGGGGACCGCCATACATTTCAAACCAGATGCAGGCCGGAGCCAGCCCCACGGAACAAAGAGGACCAGCCTCGGGAGGGCTTATCTGGAGGAGGACAAGGCCTGAACAAAAGCCAGGAGGGAGCAGAGCCCCAGGGAATAGCCAAGCCACGTGAGCTGGACCACCAGGGTCAGGGACACCCCACCACCACCACCACCAGTTGGGAAGCATTGGTACTTCAATGGCAGTTCCGTGGTAGAACTTTGCATTCTGTAAGGGCAACCTGGGTTAAATTCTCACCCATCCACCCCATGTGCAGTGGTCTTTCTGTGGTAGCTTGCACCCTGATTGCCAGGACCCTAAATAGGTTTCGATAGGGCTGTCAGACTATCAACGACTGGGAAGAAAGGCTTGGCTAACCCGAAACTCAGCCAGTGAGAGCCCTATGGCGGGACGATTTGGTTCCATCCCCGCTTGATCACAGGGGTAGTCTATTGTGCTCGGGGCTGTCACGGCCAATGGCTGAAAACAGTTTGAAAATGGAAAAAGTATGTCTTGTTAATGTGGTAGGAGGTGGGGTGGGGGCAGGTCACTTGGCTCAGGAGACACGTGCAGCTGTTGCCACCTGGTGGCCACAAAGGGTATCAGAGATCCCACGCCGTCGGGGATTTAAGGGACCATGTGTCCTAAGGAGACTCTGGAGGGGCAGTGGAGACTGGAGGCACGCTAGTGCAAGGCCAGGTGGTGGGGCAGGCCAGCGGGTGGATTCGGAGTAGGGAGCAGAACTTTGCCTACCCCAGGCTGGATGCTCCTCAGCGGGGCCCGGAGATGCAGAAATGTTCGTGGAAGGGAGAAATGCATGAGTTAGTTCCCAATTCTCAGGCTCCTGTTTGAGGATGTCGAGCATGTCGTGCAAGCTCCGGCCGGGCAGCTATGGAGGGGTGGGGTGCGCCTCTCCATTTACCAGGAAGGAGACTGAGGCAGGGGACAGCCGCCTCCCTCAGGGGGTGTACAGCCACCTTGTTGCCCACACAGAGGCCTCATGAGGTGGTGGGCGCCCTGAGGCTGGACTCCTGTGCCAGGGCTCCTGACCCTGGCATACCAGCCATTTGGAGCGAGTCTTCCCCTAAGGTCTATTTCAGCAGCAAGTGGACCAGTGTCCGTGCCCATCCCCGCCCCGGAAGTCCGACCTACCCCCACGGCAGCTTCCGTCTAGGGGTGCTTGCTAAGGCTTCCTGCCTAAAATGTGTCACAATCAGAGTTGCGCTCAGACGGCTGGAGGGGTGAGGGCGCCTGAGGCTGGTGGGGCTTGGTCGAGTTGGTCCCCAGTTGATTCTTGCCCGGGCTGTGTGGCCTCAGGAGAGTCACCCCACCTCTCTAAGCCGCAGTGGCCCCATCTGTAAAACAGGGCAGCCGCCGTACTCGCTGGGTGGTTGGGGAATTCAGGAAACCGGGAGAGTGGCTGGCTGGGTCTGGGTATGCAGTAGGCGCTTAATAACCAGCCTGTGTAACTGTGGCCATCCCTCCGGGCATTGCACTGTCTGTGAGATGGAGTGGCATTTAGTATTCCTGCCCATCAGGCTTCGGAGTCCTGAGCGCCCCTAAGCCTAGGACTTGCATTAGGTCTTGTGAGGAGCAGGGGGTGGCCCTCCGCCAGACAGCCCTGTCTGCTGGGCCCCAGAGCCTTGGCTTGGTCTTCGGGGACGATGTCCGTCAACTCAAGAGGCCAAGTGTCCAGTCCTGCCCCCTCGCCTTTGCCCCAGAATGTCTCCACCACCAGGTCCTCATGCGGGGACGCCTCTTCCGGGAAGCTCACTGGCTCAGTCCACTGCCAAACCTGGAGAGCGAGGGTGCGGTCAAGGCTGTGGGCGGGGCCTTGCTTCCCATCCACCCAGACTTTGCTTGCAAAACCTCCATTCAGCCCCCTCTTAGGAGAGCTTTCCCATCGCTCTTCCGGAATTGTTCTACCCGTCTAATGGACCATGTTAGGCAGACGCTACCCTCACCCCATCCCTTGGATGGCGGTGTGTTATCCTGGCCCAGCCAATCACATCATCCCACTTAATACCGAGTTCCAATGCCAAGTTCAGAATTGGGCATGTGACCAATCAGGGATGACCCTGGGACTTTTGGGTCCTGTTTCCACTGAGGAGTCCTGGTGACCTAGTGGGTTAAACTTTGGCCTGTAACTGCAAGGCCAGTGGATCAAACCCACCGACCACGTCAAAGGAGAAAGATGAGACTGCTCCCGTAAAGATTTAAGTCTCGATACCTTCAGGGGTTCACTTTCCTCTGCCCTACGGATTTGCTGGGAGCTGGAACGGACTTGGTGGCTGTGCGTTTGCTTTTTGTGCCCCCTGGGCGAGAGGAGGCCTGGCGCCCCAGGAGCCTCTCTGCCACTGGGGGTCAGAGGAGAGGGGGCGGGCGCTGCTGGGGAGAGAGGACAGCAGCAAAGTGAGTTTGTGCCTCATCTCTGGATCTAGCCATGCCTTCGTTTTCTTTGTCCTTTGAAGCCACTTGGGACCTATTTCTGTGCCGAGGAGGTGACTGGCAGGTGGGTCCTCTCAGGACCTTTGCCTACCTGTCTAGAAAATAGGAAGTGTTTGGGAGCACTTGTCTGGCGTGCACAGGGCAGTGGATTCAGGGAGACTAAGATGGACAAATGCACGCACAGCCCTTGCCTAGCAGAGCCCAGAGAAGGATGGGTCCAGCAAGGTGAACCTAGAATTTGAAAAGGGATGCTTACCTGCTTCCCCTGGCTGCTGGGGAACTCCACGGCGGTGCTGGCATAGGGTGTGGGCAGGGGTGGGCACAGGCACCGCA